AACAGGCAACCTACAGAATGGCAGAAAATTTTTGCAGTCTATCCATCTGACAAAGGGCTAATATCCAGTATCCACAAGGAACTTAAACAAATTTACAAGAAAAAAACTAATGACCCCATCAAAAAGTGGCGAAGGTATGAAGAGACACTTCTTAAAAGAAGACATTTATACAACCAACAAACATATGAAGAAAATCTCAGCATCACTTCTCATCAAAGAAATGCAAAGCAGGCCGGGCGCGGTGGCTCACGCCTGTAATCCCAGCACTTTGGGAGGCCGAGGCGGGCGGATCACAAGGTCAGGAGATCGAGACCATGGTGAAACCCCGTCTCTACTAAAAATACAAAAAATGAGCTGGGCGCGGTGGCGGGCGCCTGTAGTTCCAGCTATTCGGGAGGCTGAGGCAGGAGAATGGCGTGAACCCAGGAGGCGGAGCTTGCAGTGAGCCAGGATCGCGCCACTGCACTCCAGCTTGGGCGACAGAGCGAGACTCCGTCTCAAAAAAAAAAAAAAAAAAAAAGAAATGCAAAGCAAAACCACAATGAGATATCATCTCATGCCAGTTAGAACAGCGATCATTAAAAAGTCAGGAAACAACAGATGCTAGAAAGAATGTGGAGAAATAGGAATGCTTTCACACTGTTGGTAGGAATGTAAATAAGTTCAATCATTGTGGAAGACAGTGTGGTGATTCCTTAAGGATCTAAAATGAGAAATACCATTTGACCCAGCAATCTACTGGGTCTATACCCAAAGGATTATAAATCATTCTACCATGAAGACACATGCACATGTATGTTAACTGCAGCGCTATTCACAATAGCAAAGACTTGGAACCAACCCAAATGCCCATCAATGATAAACTGGATAAAGAAAATGTGGCACATAAACACCATGGAATACTATGCCGCCATAAAAAAGAATGAGTTCATGTCCTTTGTGGGGACATGGATAAAGCTGGAAAACATCATTCTCAGCAAGCTAACACAGGAACAGAAAACCAAACACCGCATGTTCTCACACGTAAGTGGGAGCTGAACAACGAGAAAGCATGGACACAGGGAGGGGAACATCACACACCGGGACCTGTCGGGGGGTGGGGAGCAAGGAGCGGGAGAGCATTAGGACAAATACCTAATGCATGTGGGGCATAAAACGTAGATGATGGGTTGATGGGTACTGCAAACCACCATGGCACATGTATACCTATGTAACAAACCTGCAAGTTCTGCACATATATTCCAGAACTTAAAGTTAAAAAAAAAAAAAAAAAAAAAGTCAATGAGTTCAAGGTCTGAATTCCTATATGACTATTTTATTTTTCAAGGAACACAGGGATAAAGAAAATTCATCAATCCTATGTGCTGCTCCTTAAAGCAGTAGTTTCCTTTTTTTGTTTTGTTTTGTTTTTTCAGACGGAGTCTCACTCTGTTGCCCAGGCTGGAGTGCAATGGCATGACTTCAGCTCACTGCAACCTCTGCCTTCCAGGTTCAAACTATTCTCCTTCCTCAGCCTCCCAAGTAGCTAGGATTTCAGGTACCCTCCACCATGCCCGGCTATTTTTTCTGTATTTTTAGTAGAGACAGGGTTTCACCATGTTGTCCAGGCTGGTCTCCAACTCCTGCCCACAGGTGATCCACCCGCCTCGGCCTGTCAAAGTGCTGGGATTATAGGCATGAGCCACTGTGCCCAGCCTAAAGCAATGGTTTCCAAACAATCTCTCCTATCTTAGAATCATCTGGATATATTATTTTGTTAAATACCCATATTCTCAGGTGCTACTCCCAGAGATTCTCACTCAGTAGGTCTGGGGTAGTTCCCATGAATATGCATTTTTGATATGTAATTCAAACACTCAACTAAGTTTGAGAACCACCCATGTGATAGACATTGTTCACTGTGACCACAGTAACAGAATTCCAGAACGTTCCAAAAAACATGGCTTCCTTGAGTAAAATCTATCTGTTCCAGGGTCTCTTGGACCTAGGTGGCAGCTAAGGGTATCCCTGTAACTAAGTTGTGTCAATAGGATCTAAAAGGATCTGAAGTGTGAAATTTCCAAGATATGTTCTTTAAAGAAAGTGGTATGTCCCACCTTAACACTTCTTTCCTGCCAGCTGGAATGTGGACAAAATAGCTGAAGCTCTGACAATCATCATAGGTCATGAGATGATCTTGGGAATGTCAATCAAGTAGGCTGGGGTGAAAGACAAAGAAATCCCAAATCCCCAATACTGCCATCCCTACACTGATGGCCTCCAGACAACTTAAACACAATGAGAAAGAAGATGCAAACCTTGCTTAAGCCAGTGTTAGCTGAGATTTTTGATAACCTGCAGTGAAATCTAAGACTGACACAACTAACTATGTTAGAGTTTCCCTCAAGTTCCAATATCTATTGTCACCACTGAAATAGTACAAGGCAAGAACTTGATTTTTTTTTTCTTTCTTTTGAGATGGAGTTTTGCTCTGTCACCTAGGCTGGAGTGCAGTGGCAGGATCTTGGCTCACTGCAATCTCTGTCTCTTGGGTTTAAGCGATTCTCCTGCCTCAGCCTCCCAAGTAGCTGGGACTACAGATGCGTGCCACAACACCTGGCTAATTTTTGGTATTTTTAGTAGAGACGGGGTTTCACCATGTTGGCCAGGATAGTCTCGATCTGTTGACCTTGTGATCCGCCCACCTCGGACTCCCAAAGTGCTGGGATTACAGGCGTGAGCCACTGCGCCAGGCCCAGAACTTGATTTTAACCCACAGTTTGCAAATGAGGAAACTGAGCCACAGAAAAGTGATCTCACTTGCTCAAAGCTACATAGCTATTAAACTAGAAATGGGGCCGGGATTTAGACTCACAACTCCCAGCTTCAAAAGCCAATGGTCTTTGGTCTACACAATTGTGCAGGGGACTCCCAAATTACAGTGAGTATTTCTCAGAAAACTGAGTGAAACTCCTGGCTAGAGAGATTACAGAAGGAAGAGAAACCTCCCTACAAACACAACTCATTTTCTCTCCTTTAGGCCTTCTTTTCCCCTTTTCCTTTTTTATTTTCCCCCTCCTCGATTCTTATTTGTTCTTTCGGTTCTACGTCATAGTAGTGTAAATACACTTGGGGAAAAAATTTGCTTGCTTTGGGCCATCTCACCTGGGTAGCAGAGTTCCCATCTAAACTAACCCTTTCTTAAACCAACACCATGGCTGTGATCTGCTAGCAGAGAACCTGAAAGAAATCAAGTATGCCTTCACCGAGGCAAGAACAGAAGAAATTAGGGACCTCCCCAGACCAGCCTAGATTAAAGGAATTTGTTAACGTGGCTGAATGCCCGTTTTCATACATAGAGATGTTAAGTAACACAAGCCACTGACAGTGGTTGTCAAAGACTAAAGGGCAGTGGGCCTGGCATACAGTCAGGGCTGAATAAATGTGCAGCATTTATCATGTCCTGACATTTGTATTTGTTTATTTGTTTATCATCTCTCCCCCTACCTCCGATGATAGAATGTAAGAACCAGAGGGAAGGGGGTTCTGTCTTTTTTATTGTTGCTGTTCACTGTTTCCCAACACACAAAACAGAGTGAGATGCAAAACACGAGTGCAGTATGTTTGCTGAATGAATAGATAAATAAATGAATGATGATGATGCAATAGAACCACCTCCTTGCCTGGGTTCTCTGGGCTTGGCTGAAAGACCAACTCACAGTGTCCTGAATCCTGCTATGACGGATGTTTGTTTCACATCGTTCCTACTCATATGACACATTCCTCTTTGGATAACCTCTGTTGGATGTCCTCTACCTCTCTACCAATCCATACTTCAACCAGGCTTGAGAATCTGAGAAATGCTCCTATCCTTAGGGGCTCTCCTTGTCCTCCTCCCTCATCACTGAACTTTCAAAGAACTTAGTCTACATCACTGAGGAAGCCATTTTTTAGTGACATTGGATAGTATCAGCAATATTACTAATAATCCCGTTCACACGAATAGCATACTACAGTTTGCAAAGTGTTCTCTCTTTAGGGAGTTTGAAGTCTAACCACTCTTTGTTCCAGAAAATGGAATAAAGAAACAGCAGGTCCTATCTGTGTTTAAAAATAGTAAAAGCTAACCATAATTTTGAAAATATACTATGTACTAGGCGCTAGTCAAGGCTTTATATGGCCATCCTGTTTAATTCTCACAAATACTTCATGAAGCAGGTATTATTTCCTGAAGTTTACTGATGAGACACCTGGAGTTGACAGAAGTTACGCAACTGGCTCAAGGGAGCTCACTGCATAAACCACTAAAGCTGGGATATGAGTTCAGTCTTGCCCATGTCTCAAAAGGCCTTCCTGTGAATAGGCATGCCCTAATTCGTCTCCACCACGAGAACTGGAAATAGTGGAGAATGAGTGTATGTGTGTTCACTGCACACAGAAGCATGGATGCAGGTATTTGAGGAAATAGAGGACAACAAATATCCCACATTTCCAAAGAGCTACTAAGAAAGCATACCCTAAAAGGGGAGAAGTGATATTAAGCTATAAGAGTTCAAATTACTGCTTTAGATAAGGAACAAGTCTGTGGTTCTGAATTAGAGAGGTTGTTTATACAGTGAAGTGATAATGAGGTCTAAGAGAACTGCCCAACTGGGCCACACAACTCCGGGTGTACCATTCACACTACAGTCGCCTACAGGATGACAGCTAGGTGTTGAAACCCTGACCATGTCAAAATGAGCCACACAGAAACAAGCAGTAGGTTCCATCAGTCAGCTCCTCTTAATATCTGTAGATTACGCCTTCTTATCCCCATTTTCAGACGGGAAAACGGAGGCTCAAAGAGGCTAAATGACTTGTCAGGCCATTCAGCAAAATTACCAAGCCAGACTTACACACCCGGGCTAGAATCAAGAATGCCAGCTCTTGGCATCTGCCTGTGTTTCCAGGAGGCATCTGCAAGGGGTGAGGGCAATCAGGACTTTGGACAACTTCCTCCCCAGGCTCCAGGTGCCCTTTACCTCGCATTTCTCCACGACCGGCTGCTGCCCACACTCGGAGCTGTTGCCTGCCACGATGCCAGCCCGAAGGTTCTCGCTGTCTCCAGTGCCCTCCTCCATGGAGTAGGTCTTGGAGTGATTGCCTCGGCGATGGGCTGGGGCTCGGCCCTGGGCCAGGCTGAGCTGCCTGCGGAGGGCGCGGTTCTCCTCCTCCACCTCGCGCATGCGCACCTCCAGGCTCTCACGCTCCCGCTGGCTGGAGGCTGTGTACCTGGGGCTGTGCGCCTGGGACTCCAGCGGAGACAGAGACACGGGCTTTCCATCTGGGGAGCAAAACACCAGGGAAGCGTTAACCAGGATGAGCCTCAAGCCCCTCCAAGTTCCCCAGACAGCCATTATTACATGGTGAGGCTCCTTGCACAATCCCATGTTTAAGGGAAACAGATGGAAAGTGAGTTACAAATAAACGCATCCAGATTGAACTGGGAACAAAGTTGAGAATGGAACAACTTATTATGGCGATAAAAACTAATATGCCTTTTAGAGGAGGCAATCATAATAAAATTGTTTCTAATTAAATGCACTGTCTTCCTCTCCCTACTTGTCATGTTTCTAGGTAGGTTTCTTAACAATAAAGAACTATGAATACAAAGTGGGGGGATTGGGGAGAAAGACAAAGGAGGCGAGAAGGAGTACCAGGAAGTGGAGGAGAGCAAAAGAGGAAGAGAAGGAGTAAAAATAAAAAAATAATAGGCCGGGCGCGGTGGCTCATGCCTGTAACCCCAGCACTTGGGGAGGCCGAGACCGGCGGATCACGAGGTCAGGAGATCAAGACCATCCTGGCTAACATGGTGAAACCCTGTCTCTACTAAAAATACAAATAAATAAATAAATAAATAAATAAGCAAGCAAGCAAGCCGGGCGTTGTGGCATGCGCCTGTAGTCCCAGCTACTCGGGAGGCTGAGGCAGGAGAACGGCATGAACCCGGGAGGCAGAGCTCGCAGTGAGCCAAGATTGCGCCACTGCACTCCAGCCTGGGAGACAGAGTGAGACTCCGTCTCAAAAACAAAACAAAACAACCCCCCCCCCCGAAAAAAAAAAAAGAAAAGAAAAAAGAGAATAATAATGACTAAGTTTATTGAGCTCTTCCTATGCAAACTCCTATATATTTCAACCTCTCAGGGAAAACCTTCCCCCATTTTCAGGCAAGATATCCTTCCACATATTCCAATAATTTGTATGTAGCGCTATGAAAACATGTATCTGCCATACTATATTTGATAAACAGCTTTACTAAATGTTTCCTATGAAGATTGGGAGTTCAATGTAGGCAAAGGCGGCTCTTACCTGTCTTTGTGGTAACACGTCACAAAGTCTGAGAAATGCTGGAAGGGTGGATGCATAGCTCCATGCCAAGAATAAAATAATTAAAGGCAACAAGGACAAAAGAAGTAGAAGCATGACCCATCTCACGGTTTTCCCAGAAAAACAGTTACCACTAAAGTGAGTGTCAGCAACACTCCATGTAACAATCATATAACCCTGCAATAAAAACTGAGGCACAGCCGGGTGAGGTGGCTCACACCTGTAATCCCAGCCCTTTGTGAGGCCAAGGCGGGTCAATCACGAGGTCACTAGATCGAGACCATCCTGGCCAAGATGGTGAAACCCTGTCTCTACTAAAATACAAAAAGTTAGCCGGGCATGGTGGCACGCATCTGTAGTCCCAGCTACTCGGGAGGCTGAGGCAGCAGAATTGCTTGAACCCAGAAGGCAGGGGTTGCAGTGAGCCGAGATTGCACCACTGCATTCCAGCCTGGCAACAGAGCAAGACTCTGTCTCAAAAAACAAACAAACAAACAAACACAAAAAACTGAGGCACAGAGAGGATAAGCGGGTCTCTCAATGTGACACCACCAGAATGGTGGTATCAGAATTCGCACCCAGGTCTCTCTGGTATCTGGGCCTGTACACTCTCCACTTCAATAAACTTTCATTATAGGCTATTCAGAGAGCTAACATGGAAAAAAAAATTATTAGTATAAAAACCCCATCTCCCAAAGATATTTTAATCACCTTGTATACAGTAGATGCTCAAGGCATGCTTACTGTTCAGGAGTCTCAGTGGCACAAGGCATACCCAAAGCTATCACTTAAAATTTCTGTCTCCACTCTGCAGAAATCCTGGGCTCCAGCTACATTGACAGCCACCTCAGGGGTTACCAAGCAAAAAAAGCGTATCTCTAGAAAATCATCCTCTCTCAGCTGCCTGTCAAAAAAACGCTCCTCTTTTTCCATACTTCAAGTTTTTCCTTCCTGCCCAGACCCCATGAGCTTCAAAACTGTCCCAGAGAGTCTCTGTGACTCACAAACTTGAGGATCAAAGAATGTGATGAATTACACCCTGCAGGTCTCACTTGTGCTTGTGTCGGCCTCTGCCCAGGGCTTTTTGATGTATCTTTGGACCTTAACAAATATGACTCATTTTTTTTCCCCCCCTTAATCACCTCAGGGTTAAACGCCTAAGCTCCTGGTCCTCTCCTATCAATGCAACAAATATGGCTCAATGAATTGCACTGCCTGGGACCACAAATCAAAGGCCGAGGCAGAATCGGTAGGGGATGTGAAATCACAGGTTGATTAGGGTTACATTGTCACCGGACTGGCCAATTACAAGCTCCAACCCGAGCTTCTGAAACCTGTCTCCCTGTTTGGTACAACTGAGAATGAAAAAGAACAGGCAGCTATTAATAACTGCATTTTCTCAACCAACATCGACCCTTTGAGCAGGGGTGGGTAAAGATGAACCTCTGGCTTCCCCAGGAGTTATACTTTCTGTAGTGTCTATCATGGATCTGCATCATGCTAGGTAGTTCATGCTGATAACGCCTTAGGTTGCCATCAGTACAATGAAGTGGCAACAGTTATCCCCATTGCTGATGCAGAAACCGAGACTAAAGTTTAAACCCTGTTCCTATTACGTTGCAGCTTGACTGTAAACAAGGTCTCCTGGACTTTGCACTTAGCTATGCTCCTGCATTTACGTGCTAAGTTAGAGGTAAAGACGCTCCGGAGACTGAGAGGGTCTTCCTTCTCGGGAAAGGATTTTGGAGCATTTGGGCAGAAATGCAGGAAGCTCAACAAGGTCTCAGGGTCTCTAGAAAATTAACAAATGGGACCTGTGAGATTCCTCATTGGAGGAGTTACATCAATGCTCTGGGCTTCGATTTTCTCTTCTGTGAAATGGGAATATAAAATGTTCTAGTAAGAATGATGGGAGGCTGAAGCAAGATAACAAAATAGAGAGCACTGTGCCCCTTACTGGGAGGCGCTTGGCATCAGGGAGTTCCTGTGACCCTTTCTCAGTGAGGGAAGGTGACGTCATGGGTAAGATGAGTTGATGATGTAATTTAAGGTGTAAAGCACCTTTCAGAACACAGGGTTGTTCAGTGTGTTATATGGGGAAAGAAGTAGGTAACAGACCTTGGCTTCCTTGAGACCTTGAGAGGAGGCACTGCTGAGTTTCCTGCCTTCATCCTTAGCCAGGTCATGGTTCATCCTTAAGAACATGGGGGAGCAGGCGGGCAGGCTTCACCAAAGAGGCCGGGTCACATTCTCTAGCCTATCTCCTAAAAGCCCCATATTTTAAACATTTACATAAATTATGATTTTCTGATTGTAGGCTTAAAAGAAATGCTATCGACATCCTGTGTCCATTTCTCAAAAGCCCTATAGATTTGTCACCAATGAAGCCACACTAAATAATTAATGTCAGGTCTCAGAGGAACCAATGTTGAAAAAAGCAACGTTCATGCTGTGCCCAACTCCTGGCATGGAGGAAGTGCTCAATCAATGGCAGAATTGTCATTTCTGGTTTGTTTGTTTGTTTTAAAGGTCCGTTGTCTCGAGCTGGTCCCTTCCTTCTCCTCAGCCAGTTACACCTTCTGAAAGGCGGGGTCCTGCAGATGTGCTCAGAGTCCCCTCTCAGCCCTAACTCTCCACAGCTGTGAGGTCCAGGTGATTCCCAATACCGCACGATCATAAATGAATACAGTGGGCCCTGCTGCCTGGCCAGATTCACAGCTCATTCTCGTTTTATTCATCCTGACGCTTGCTTTTATTCCTGACTATTCCTTTTTCTGGCTCCTGACCTCTTTGCTCAGGCTTCTCCTGACTCTCTGGGAGTCGGAGGAGAGGGGGTCAGGGTAGTGAACAGCCAGCCTCCTTCAATGCGGTCTGCATTTCTCTGTTACGTTTTACAGGTACTGGTCCCTCCCAGGAACGCTCCCCAACCTTTATGTACAGGTCACAGTTATAAAGCCCACTACATAGGATTTTATGGCTATGTAAACAACTGTGCCCACACAGATATTTCTCAAACTACCAGTGGTGAAGACAGCAGGAGAGGCACGGAAGCCCAAGGAGCTTGGGGGAAGAACCAGTTTTTCTCCTTCCCCCAATCCATCCTGGACAAAAATCTGCCCCTAACACTCAAAGGTAAAATAGAGCTTGGCCCATGTGTAACTCACCACTTGAATTAAACAAACTGGTCTACACTACGTTAATCAAGATTATCATACACTTGACGCCGGCCACAAAGTCCACTTGCTCTAGATGCTTCTAAATGCCTAGTCTCAAGTTCCATATGTATCTTGTTGCAGACCAGCAACAGTTTGAGGGCACGGTTAATTTTATGTGTCAACTCAACTGGGCCAGGTGGTACCCAAACATGTGGTCAAACATCACTTTGGGTGTTTTTGGATGAGGTTAGCATTTAAATTGGTAGACAGAGTAAAGCAGGTGTCCTCCCCTGGTGTGGATTGGCTACCTCCCATTAGATGAAGGCATGAATAGAACAAAAATGCTGACCATCCTCCAAATTCAAGAGAACTCATCTTGCCTGACAGCCTTTGAATTGGGACATCACCTTTTTCTTGCCTTCGAACTCAAACTGAATCATCAAATCTTCCTGGATCTCGAGCCTGCTGGAATTTGGACTGGAACTACACCATGAGATCTCCTGGTTCTCAGGCTTTCGGACTCAGACTAGAACTACACATCGGCTCTCCTGGGTCTCCAGCTTGCTGACTCACCCTGCAGATCTTGGAACTTGTCAGCTTCCATAATCACGCAAGCCAATTCCTTACAATAAACATAGCTGTATATGCACTCTCTATTGGTTCTGCTTTTCTGAAGAGTCCTGACAAATACAAGGATGAACAACGACCTTCAAATTACACCTTGAGTGGCACTGCCAATCTCTAGTCTCCATCCCCAGGTCCTGGCATGCTCCCTATACTTAACAAGCATTTGAAGAAGAGA